CGTTTATTCAGAATGAAAGTCCGTGTGGGGACGGATTAAGAATACGGAGTGTCACCACCCCTATTCATCCCGTGGGTGTCGTAAGAGCCGACTAAGGGAAACAACTATGCAGAACACGAGCGCTGCAAAGAGAATGAAAACTTGTCACAAACCCTATACCAATCCATCTGGCCAGCGTGGTATAGTAGGCCAAAACCTCTTTTCTAAGAAGAGGCTTATGTCCAGCAGTGGACTATAAAAGGCTTATGATGTGATGTTATGATGTGATTCAGAATGCCCCTAAAAGGCGACTATTTATGAAAGGCACTATTGGATAATTATGAAAGAACTATTCATGACAGATTTGCTAAATTGGCGGCAATAAACGCGCCCTTATTCCCTGGGAATAAAGATGTCTTCGACTTCCAACTTCTGAGTACTCTATCCTTTTAAGGGCTCGATTATATTATAACATACATAAGAATTTAACAATCATTATACAAAAACAAAGGTGTTTTAAGGTTAATAACAAACATTTTTATTTTGACCTTAAAATTAGTAACAATTATATTAAAAACAAACAAGCCTTGTTACATAAATTCCCTTGAATTGACGGACGAGTGTACAAAAAAATATTTTGAATTCATTATAGAGGCTGTCAATTCATGTAACGGTTGAATTATGAATTTGTATGCAAGACCTTGGACAACCCCTGACTTGTGTTGCGTACCATCATTTCATTAACTTGTTCCATATTTCAATTCTCGTAAGAGACCCATACTTGTTTACTTTTTTTTGTGTTAGAGGGCTCAGACGAGCAGACAGCTCACCTGATAGAAAGTGATTATGGCCGCTCATGAACGTCTGCAACTCAGGAGTCACAAATGTGCAAATGGGGCAGCTAAGCCGAAACGATACCACGGCCTCACAGAAAACTGTTTTTAAGCAATTCTTTGGTTACTTTTTAATGAGTGAGTGAAGTTTTTACAGTCCAAATTTCTTCTGTTTTCTCCAAACCCCTGGGTCTGGGGAGGGCGAAAACTCAAAAGGCAGTCACCTGTGACTTTAAATTTGCAGGTGTCCATGGGTGGCGGTAGGCACTTATCATCAGGAGACCCGTCTGCTCGTTTGCTCCACTATGCTATAAAAAAAGAATATTTCTGCATCTTTATCTGTATTTTATATTTTAATAATAATAAATTCATAAATCTTACACACGACAGTCTGATCCCAAAGGCCCAGTCTGAGCCTGTACTAAGGCAACCAGACACTAATCTTCTTTCGAAGGAGAGACCTATGTCCAGCAGTGGACTGTAATAGGCTGTTGATGATGATGGTAACCATACTTCTGATAAACATATTTTTAAATACACAAATATTATAGATAAATTCACCCACAGAACAAATCAACGTACTCATCACACATTATTTTTAGCAGTCAGGGTCACCAACCACTAGACTAAGAGGCCCCTCAATACTATGGAATAGCTGATGTATTCATTCAATGATTTGTAAAGACACAAAACCGCACAACCCGATACTTAAGTAGTACGATTTCCACGTATTATGTAGTATCCATACTAATACTAATTATTAATAGTACTAATACACTAATACTAATATACTAATAACTATATATACAAGTATATATATACTACGAGTAATAATCTATCCGTCTCTTTGTTACCTCTTCACGCTTAAACCGCTGAACCGATTAATATGAAATTTGGTATAGGTATAGTGTGGGGAAAGAACTTAAGATTTAGTTTAAAAAAATAAATCATTTTTAGGGGGGGGGGGGTGAAAATGGGGGTGGAAGTTTGTATGGGTAATCAATATGAAATAAAAATTTATGAATTAAGTGTATTGATAAAATTGTGTTGCATTGGTTTTATTTATTCATTGTACTAAATTTCTAATTTGTTATTGTCATTATTAAAAAAAAATGTTGTTATAATTATTTCTCTAATTTAAGATATATTTCATTTTTAAGCTGTATACTTTTATAATATTCTAAGCATGCAGTGTTAACCTTTAAAAAATTGTTACACTTATGTTAGTAATAAGTTTGTAAATAAATTGTAAGATGCAGTGTAAACAATTGTTGGTTAGCCATAAAATAAATAAATAAATAAATAAATAACCGATGAATCGATTAAGATGAAATTTGGTACGGAGATGGTTGATTCCTGAGGAACGACATAGGATACTTTTTACCACGATAATCGACATACGAGAGTGAAAAAGGTAGTATTTTATACTCTTGAAGAAATGTGAAACAAGATCATAAAAAATCCAATAACAAAATGGCACGGTGGTCGAATTAAATGAATTTATTTCATTCCTTTCTCAGATTTATTCGCTTAAAGTCAGTGACATTTTGATTGTAATTAAACGTCTACTTAATTTTTAACACCTCGCAATAATATTAATTGGTACAATATAACATTGAGAACGCCGTCCATTGGATTGGTGATAAGATAAAGTATTTTATAAATGTTTAATTATCTTAATATGGGAATATATAAGTGACGTTGATGGCAACATAAAATCAACAGCTGTTTTGTTAGTTCATTTTAATTTATTGATTCCAATTTTATGACCAGTTACATTTGATGGTTATTTAATCATCGCTAGATTGAATTAGTTTTGTTGTTTTCTGAACTCAACGAGTCAAGTGTATCTATTTGTATGTAGATTTTTTGCTTGAATTTTGTGACACTGACCTATTATTGCTTTCACTCCTCCATCATCATCATCATCATCATCAACAGCCTTTAACAGTCCACTGCTGGACATACGCCTCTCCTTAGAAAGGAGGTTTTGGCCTACTATACCACGCTGGCCAGACGGGATGGTATAGGGTTTGTGTCAAGTTTTCCCTCTCTTTGCAGTATTGTTGTCCTGCGTTGTTTGCTCCCTAAGTGGGCTCTTACGACACCCACGGGATGATTGGGGGTGGTTACAATCCGTATCCTTAATCTGTCACCACACGGACGGACATCATTAAAAACAATATACTTTTCCTCTATTGCATTTCCTTCTCACCTATGGTCACCTTATGGTAAAATTGTGAGTACGATAAATGGATTTACCCATTTATCGTACTCACAATTTTACCATTTTGTATTTCCTAAACTGATCTAATTTTTTTTCAATAGTTCTGCACCGTTATAGGAGTGACTTGATTTCTAAAAAAATAGTTGTGTTGGTGTTTAATACGCCCCTGATTGTCTCATTCAAGGTATCTATGTACATTTATATATGTACTTCGACTATCGATAAATCTGAAATCTAAAGTATTTTTTCATACGACCGGATGGCGTAGTCGTTTGTGCAACGCACTGCTATTCCAAAGGTCGCTAGTTCGATTCCCGCTCGAGTCAAACATTTGTATGCATGAACATGTAATGTTTGATTTGGTCTGGGGGTTTCTATGTATAATGTGTCTGTATTTACAAAAAAAAAGTATATAATATGTATTTATATCAGTTGTCTAGTAGCCATAGTACAAGCTTTGCTTAGTTTGGGACTAGATGGCGTTGTGTGATTGTGTTACAATATTATTAATAAATTATACTTTGCTGTCGTTCTTTCACCAAGCTCTTATTTTCCTCAGTTCCCATTATCTTATGTTATATATTTATAGACACAAAAGTAGCAATGTTTTATTTATTAACTTAATAATACAGACAAAATCAAAGGTTCATCCCAATTAACTCATTCACCATTGACCTACACAGAATATATGGACGTTACGGCTGTCTTCTTCATGTCGTAAGTATAATATTTATGTATTTAAAAAAAATAAACGTCCAAAATAAGTACACATTTTTCGTGACGCTTTTGGCGTACACAATTACAGTAAAGGCTTCAAGTTCATTCAACGGAACAAGTCTGTTAAATACACTGTTACTCGTATTTCTTTAGAGATTTTCACATTATTATTATTATTTATTTATTTATTTTTTCTTGACATTGACAACTGTCACGATAACTTCATAAAATTTCAGACAACAAACACAAAAATCAACCAGATTCGGTCAAAGCATTTGTGGATAACGATTTTTGCCTTCTGTGGGAGTCAACGACTTTAAAAATTGCGCTATCCGCGTTATTCCACAGTGATAATCTAATCAAAAGCAAGGATAATGATTGATGATTGGATAATCTACCTGTCTGAATAAGAAAGTTCAATTTTATTAAAGCATTACAGCTAATGATGGCAATTTGGAATAACCTAAGGTTTCGAAAAAAATAATCTAATCCAAAATCTAAATTTTTAAAACCAATTATTTCTGATGAATGATAATTCACTTACACTTACTTTGGTTAACCAAACTGTACTTGAGAAGTCCATACGACATAAATAAGTATGGTTTTGGTGTGAAACTGTAAACAAAATTAATACAAAGATCACATTGTTTGTATTTATGTATTTAATTATCTCAACAAATTGATGTACCTACAAATTTTTCGTTTATATTTGGAAATCTATCTTACAAATAAAAACATTTATTTCTGTATTTCAACGCTCTTTTTTACTTATAACTATGATAAAAGCTCCTTAAGAACTCGAGTACTTTTTGATTGGAACAAACAAAACAGTTAAATTTAAAAACGCAATAAAGTATCTTCGGCTATGTTTTCAGTCATCCCAATCCAAAGTTTTTTTTTCTATTTTCTAACTAAACATATTCATATAAATTACATAGGTAATTCGCACTCTCTAATCAAAAGCTTGTCAAAGTCAAGGTCAACAAGTCTCCTCCACGAAAGCTCGTGTAATTTATTCGGTTTTCAAGTACACATTGCGTCCGTTCATTGTCGATATTCGGCAGCTCCGTATATAAGCTGAGATGGGCCAACTGTTCGTTAGATTACTCGACACTACAGTCAAGTCAACACACAAACCAACAATCACTATGAAAACTTTTGTAAGTGTAGTTATTTATTAAAGTGGTCAACAGTTGTATTCTAACTTCAGTTTTTAACGTTTGTTTATAACACTCAGAGTTAATTTAAATTTGCTTTCTTTCCAGGTTGCTTTCGCCGCCCTCCTGGCCTGCGCTGCTGCCGCCCCTGGAATCCTTGTAGCCCACGAGCCCGTGGTTGCTCACGTTGCCGCGCCTGTGGTTCACACCGTCCCTGTGGTCGGTTCCAAGACCACCATCACTAAGAGCAGCCAGGTTGTAAACCATGGCTCTCCAGTTCACACCGTCCACGCTGTCCATACCGCTCCAGTTGTGCACACTGCTCCCGTAGTCCACGCCGTTCATGCCGCTCCCGTAGTCCACACGGTCCATGCTGCTCCTGTCGTCCACGCTGTTCACGCCGCACCTGTCGTCCACGCTGCCCCTCTTCTAGTCAAGACCGCACCTTCTGCCGTCAGCCATAGTAGCTCAGTCGTACACCATGGACATGTCGTCAAATCTGTCCCACTTGTCGCTGTCCACCATTGATTTGATTAATTTCTGAAGACTAAGTAATAAATAATATTTATACATACTTTTTGGTTTTATTCCTTTATCTAATAAACATGATCATTTTTTTGAAAACAGTTTAAACAATGACTTGCTCCATTATTTGAGTTTCAGAGGTCGGATCTTAGGATTAAAACCTTTTTGTAATTGTGTTAAGAAGAATAAACGTGTTCACGTAACGGATATCACCTTTGAATTATTTGAAGGGTGCACTGGTCAGCCACAGGCTCAGAGTAAGCCAGTGACAATGCCCGATGTTTTTTACTTAATTGTTAGTTAATAAAGTTATCTTAATTGACGAGAAACTACTGACATTTTGACTATAATTATAAGTCTATTCTATTTTAGCGCTATGCTTTACATGAATCGTTAGTGCACGAGTTTGTGGGATGCGGTCAATTACATCAATGATAGGATAAAGTCGTTTATGATTGTTTAGTTTGCCAAAATTAAAGCTATCAGTGTTGATGGCAACATAAAATGAACAGCTGTTGTGTTAAGTCAATATTAATTAAATGATTCCAATTTTATGATCAGTTTCAAGTAAATAGTAGTAAATGTAAAATAAATAGCCTAAAAGTTGGAATTACTTTTTTCGTTCAAAGCTGTGTTTATGTTACCATTGGAAGATCAATTTCTAGTGGGCAATTTAGATTATAATTATTTTCTTTTTACTTTTTGACTGATAGAGTGAGGAATGATGTTGTAACCAAACGGTTTGAAATGAAAGAAGATTTGGTGGCAAGACCTGAGAATAGATACTTCGATTTGGGCATGTAGAAAGTATAAGCGAGAAACGATGGACTAAAAGAGTTTTTAAGGCCCCTGTGACTGAGCGAGTCGACGCGTGCGGGCCCTGATCCCTGATCAAAAACCGTAACCGAGTATGAAAATCTTGATGAATATGGAAGAGGCACGAGTTGTAAGGCAGGACTGTGGTCGTTTAAAAAGAAGAATGCATAAGAGACTGTAGGCTCTTCTCTTTGCATTCATAATTTGGGTTAAGAAGAAGGCTTATTAAGGTCAGGTAATATAAGGGCAGGTATTACATTGTATTATGATGTTTAGAACGTTAATAAATATACACAGTTACATTTTTGTATATACAAATATGTGTATATTATAAATAGTAAATATATATATAAATATATATAGTATATTATAAATAGTTACATTTTTGTATACACATATTTGTGTATACAGAAATGTAACTGTGTACATAAAAACATACCTATGCAAATTCATGTCTATAAATATTTGCAGCGACAAAAAAATTACGACATTATGTTTTAAAATATAACCCTACAGTAGGAAGAGCATTTCACATATAAAATAAATCATAAAACTTTTTTTTAGGCAAACTGAACTTTTTTTGAGCTACATATTAATTAAAACACTATATTCTATAACTATTTGTTAATGTCCATTTTTAAAGGACCTTTTACTGAAAAGGCTCCAGTTTAGTTCACTTCTACTCGTACGAGTAAGCAGTAATTAAGTTTAGACCTTTAGTCCTTATTTCAAAAATGTTTTGTCTTGGTAACAAACTGAAATTATTCTTCACCTAGATTAAATCATTCACATCACATCACATCAACAGCCTTTACTAGTCCACTGCTGGGCATAAGCCTCTCCTTAGAAAGGAGGTTTTAGCCTACTATACCACGCTGGCCAGACGGGTTGGTATAGGGTTTGTGTCAAGTTTTCCTTCTCTCTGCAGTGCTGGTGTTCTGCGTAGTTTTTTTCCCTTAGTTGGCTCTTACGACACCCACGGGATGAATAGGGGTGGCGACATTCGGTATTCTTAATCCGTCACCACACGGACCATCATCACACAAATCATTCACTACACTTCAAAATATAATACAAGTTTATAACTGCTTTTTCGAGTCATAAGTCCAATATTTAGGTTAAAAATAAACTCAGATTAATACGTCAAGAATAATTACAAATTGTTTTCATTGTGACTCTCTCGGTGTAAGTAAAAAATACCAATTTCGACGTCAAGTTCATTCAGCGAAACAAGTATATTGAAAGGTTGATATTATTTTAAGGATTTTTTTGAATGAAACTTTTTTAAATTAAATATTAAAGCCAAGAATCGATCTAAATGGCATGCCATTGCACAAACCTATGTCCAATGACAGACATAGACCTGTGATGATGAAGGAACCTATTGTAATAAAGATTGCAAAATGGATATTTGAAAAACAAAAGCAACGACCTGAAAAAGAATAGTGTGACTTTATTATATTAAAAAAAAAATAGGCTTTATGCTTGGCTGTGGCCGTATGGCCGGTCATAAAATAAAAAGCCAAAACTAATGACATTAAGGAGAGTGTGAAACAGGGTGTCAAGTGATGAAGGAGAATGGAAGAAAACTCATTCCACCGAAGCCAAATAAATTTGGGAACAGGGTAGGGCGATGATGATGATTATGTTTGACTATTTTGACGTATTTTTTCACGTATCTTCACCGATATTGCCGCTATCTATGGATTTACTCATCTAAATTGTGTTTTACTATTAATTAACACAATTGTATCACAAATAATTATTTATTTCATTTTGGACTCAATATCAGCTTCAAATAGACCGATGTCTATCCGATGTTTTTCTAAATATATACATAGAAAATACCCAAACTCCGAAACAAATATTTACAGATCATACAAACATTTGGTCAGAGCCGGGAATCGAACCTGAAACCTTACCATACGCTACCACTACCGCTACCGAGCCAGCAAAATATTTTTAGCCTTTTTGATCTCCGTGGTAAAAAACAGAATCAGCTACAAGGAGTGACTCGACTAGATTCGATAGAATGAGAAAGAAAAATTGTTTCTTGTAAAATTACACACTTACATTGAACATAACGACCGGATGGCGTAGTGGTTTGTGTAACGAACTGCTATGCCAAAGGTCGTGGTTACGATTCCCGTTCAAGTCAAACATTTATGTGCATGAACATTTAATGTTTGATTTAGTCTGGGTGTTTCTATGTATAATATTTAATTATTATAATTTTCGAAAAATAAGGATATCTGCATTTATATCAGTTGTCTAGGACCTACCCGTAGTACAAGCTCTGCTTAGTTTGGAACTAAATGGTGTTGTGTGAACGTGGTAGAATATTATAAATGTTTCCTAGTATATTCTAAATGTCAAAGTTATTTTTAATTTTCATTTGTTTATTGATGAGTTTAGCTTTGGTTCATTGGACAACATTTACACTACCGTTATCTAGTTAAAAATCACTCTTTTCATGAAAATAACCAATACCTCGTAGATGGATCGTCGTTTTGATAAAAGTCCTAAACCAAAAGAAATATGAACCAAATTCCCATAAACAAATTCATTTATACAGAAACCGATGTAACTCACTACTGTCAACTGTTAACAGTGGCTAAGTGCTTAAGTTACATAAGTGCTGAACTTGACATCAACCTAAATACACAGCGTTGTCAATGTTTATACTTGTGCATTCATTAATCTTAACAAGTTTGACATGGGCCAGCAATGTAAGTGACAAGTGAAAGTTATTGGATATGGCTTTTGCTTTTATGCGTTGTTAAAAATTAATAAACACACTTGATGCATGTAAATATTCAAATCTTCAATTTGAAAACCACTCAAAATACACAATAATCTAATTCATTGTGTATTTTATTATGTACTAAAGAATGCATTTTAAATTACTTTCTCGCTTTTACTGCAATAGTAATGTAAGAAATAAATAACATAAAGAATTATTATGGTATACTTTAGTAACAAAATGTTAATAACAGGTACAATAGTTGTTTTATAATGTGCACAACCTATCAAAAGCCTTATCAAAGTCAAGGTCAACATGCCTCCTCCACGAAAGCTCGTGTAATTTATTCGGTTTTCAAGTACACATTGCGTCCGTTCATTGTCGATATTCGGCAGCTCCGTATATAAGCTGAGATGGGCCAACTGTTCGTTAGAGTACTCGACACTACAGTCAAGTCAACACACAAACCAACAATCACCATGAAGACTTTTGTAAGTGTTGTTATTTATTAAAGTGGTCAACAGTTTTATACGTTTAACTTCAGTTTTTAAAGTTTTTTTATAAAACTCAGAGTTAATTTAAATTTGCTTTCTTTCCAGATTGCTTTCGCCGCTCTCCTGGCCTGCGCTGCTGCCGCCCCTGGACTCCTTGTAGCCCACGAGCCCGTGGTTGCTCACGTTGCCGCTCCTGTGGTTCACACCGTCCCTGTGGTCGGTTCCAAGACCACCATCACTAAGAGCAGCCAGGTTGTAAACCATGGCTCTCCAGTTCACACCGTCCACGCTGTCCATACCGCTCCAGTTGTGCACACTGCTCCCGTAGTCCACACCGTTCATGCCGCTCCCGTAGTCCACACGGTCCATGCTGCTCCTGTTGTCCACGCTGTTCACGCCGCACCTGTTGTTCACGCTGCCCCTCTTCTAGTCAAGACCGCACCTTCTGCCGTCAGCCATAGTAGCTCAGTCGTACACCACGGACATGTCGTCAAATCTGTCCCACTTATTGCTGTCCACCATTGATTTGACTAATTTCTAGGGACCAAGTAATAAACAATATTTAAATATATTTTTTTGTTTTATTGTTGAGGAATGAAATTACCGCCATGTTTTTTTTAGATAATTAACTGTGTTTGTTTAAGTTGTTAATTTAAGTTGACCAAGACATTCTTAATGTATTACCTTCACCACTTAAAAACATACGTTATTTTCAAGAGACAGAGTAGGTTATGGCATATGAGAGGATCATGGCATTGGTGACCTTTTCTGCCATTGAGTTAATTATTTTAATGATGGTATAATATTTTTTAAACAAAATAATATTTCTTTTAAATATTACAATAAGTCTGCAATTCAATAATTTAAGTAATGCGTAACAAATAATTTAGTTATCATGTATACTGATTACTTGATGCTTTTTATGATTGTAGTGTTTGATATATGTAAGATGTTGTTTATTACTCGTTTATTCAAACTCAAACTCTCTTTGTTTCATTTTTTTTTTTAAATATGTTTGAAATCGTCTTTTATGAATCCAGGTTAAGGTACAGCGTGTTGTGGTATCAGTTATGAGTATAACACGCAAAAAGCCTTTGCCTTGCAAAACGGGCCATTAGAATTGTTGTCCGAATGTCACAACGTGAATCTTGTAAAGAACACTTCAAGAATTCAGGTATCCTAACGGTCACCAGTTTACGAGTATATGTGTTTACTATTTAAGCAATTTCACAAAGCACACACATGAATACGAAACAGAAAGGGAAAGTGAAGTTACAGAAGATACGCGGCGAAAAACTATAAAAAATAAAATGGCGCCTAAATTAAATATAGCGAAGCATTGTTCAAGGTATCAACCAGTGGAGTTACTTAATAGACTACCGGGCTATCTAAAAGAGATAGTACATAACACTACAACTTTTAAATCCAAATTAAAAGCATTTTGTTGGACAAATGTCTTTATTGTGTAGATGACTTGGACAGCGAATGATGATGGGGCGTCGAGGGGTTGTCAGATGAAAATTTTAATTGCCACAACTTTATTCATTAAATAATGTATTGTATCCGTGTGGTGACGGATTAAGAATACAGAGTGTCACCACCCCTGTTCATCCCGTGGGTGTCGTAAGAGCCGACTAAGGAAAAAAACAACGCAGGACAGCAGCACTGCAGAAAGAAGGAAAACTCGACACAGACCCTATACCAACCCGTCTGGCCAGCGTGGTATAGTAGGCCAAAACCTCCTTTCTAAGGAGAGGCTTATGTCCAGCAGTGGACTATTAAAGGCTGTTGATGATTATTGATTATTCAATTCATTAAAAATTATCATGGCATTGAGTATGTTTTTGTTTTTGATTTTATGTATTTTATTGTTTTCTTGACATTTTTTAGTTAGTATTGTTGGTTTGACATCTTTTTAAATGTTATAGTTTATTTGACATTTTATTTGTGGTATTGTAACAGTTGTGTAGACTGTAGTGCGTGCATGCAATAATTCAGTAATTTTCCATTTAATGTCTTTATTGTTATGGTCTACAATTCATACAGGGACAGGGAGAGATGGCGGGCGATTATACGGAGGACTGTGTCCACTTCTGCCGCCGGCGTGGACGTCTCAATGTGACCACGACCGCTCTGCCAAGAGCGACACGACAAAGAAGAAGACAATTCATACATACTCTCTGGAATTTCAGACACAATGTAAATTGTTTATGAAATTGAAATAAATAAATAAAAAATAAATATGTAGATTAAAGTCATAGATCAACACAGACAAACGCAACAATCTCTGTTTTGTCAAATAGTAAGCAAATCTATTGAAATAAAAATTAAACTTTTACAAAATCTATCATATGCCTGTGCCGATCTGCAACCGCCCGTTTCCTGGGTTGAGCCTGGAAGAACGGGTTAACAAACTCATGGCCACTCTTTTGCAATTCACAGATAGATACAATGGCATTATTAAATATACCATTACATTTATATTTATTTTTATTTTTATTTATTTATTATTATATTCACATAAAAAAAAAAAAAATACACAAAATTTATATAAAAGACAACTCTAATATTTTTGATGTGTGCCAGTATGTCCGGTATTAACGACTAAAAGGTAAAAAGACAATGCAGAGAAAATAAGATTATGGAATAAAACAAATAAAAGAGAAAATGAAATGAAATATAAAAAATAGAAATAATAATAATAATAACAAACACACTAGTCCATACCACATTTTTACTTAAGAAATAGCCTGTATATATTTTTCGGACATCTAACACACAACGCCATCTAGTATCAAACTAATCAAAGCTTTTACTATGAAAGCTAGATTGACTGATAGAATACTTATATACTTTTTTTTTGTAAGTACATACATAGTATACATAGAAAACACCGAAACTCCGAAACAAATATTTTACAGATCATACAAACATTTCGTCCGACCTCAGCACAGCAGTTGCATACGCTAGCACTTATATTTATATTTTTATTCGTATGTTCTTATATTTTACTAAAGACATTCCTCCCGCATTAGGAATATATCCTGTGTCGCGGGGGACTTTAAAAACATACATAAAACGGACACAAAGAACACCCAGACTCAGAACAACAATTTGTGGATCACACTAAGTGTCGTCCCATGTGAGGTTTGAACCCACAACACTCGGCGAAGTAGGAAGCGGCGTGGCGACTGCTTAAACCACTATGCCACCCGTGCAGTCAAGCAGATAGTTTTACACCACCACCGAAGCAGATAGTTTTAATTTTCGGTATTGAAGTTTAAATGTTCGTTGTGCGATTGGACAGGCCTCTGTTAAGCTGTGGACTGCGATAGGCTGATGAAGAGGATGATGATGATTGAAGTTTAGCTTGCTGTTTTTTAACTTTAGTGTAGTTACGATGAAAAATCGTCTAGAGTAGATTGTTATCTGTGAAATCGTAACCTTGTAGCATGAAAGCTTGCCTTATAGGAGACTAAACACAATAAGTTTATACTTAAATTTCTGGACATTTTTATTGTATTCAGTACCCAAATATTATGTGTCAAATGTTGTTGGTCTCACAGACGTTTTTTGTTTGTTTTTTTTTAATGTGTATGTAACGTAAAACTGAAAAAAAAACGAGATTATAGAGATCCGGATTTTTAAACAATGTTAAATATAATATATTTTTTTTTATGGTATGGGGGAAGAGCGTGGCAAACGAGCAGCCGGTCACCTGATAATAAGTGACTACCACCACCTATGGACATCTACAACTCAATAGTCACAAGTGTGCTGCTGCCCTGTCAGTCCCTTACCCCAGAATCAGAGTGAGTGTTAGTGTAAGTGAAAAGAAATGAAAGAAGTGCTTAACACCGATTTTCTGGGATATCGTGGTATTCTTCCCAGAAAATTGGTGGCTCGACCGGAGCCTGGGCCGTTTGTGCCGAAGCATGACTCTCCCACGATATTAGAAATCACATGAACATATCAAACTAAGAATTGATAGAGGTATTTACGAGTATATAAGACCACATGTAACTTTATGTTTAATTTAATAATAAAAAAAAACAATATCACCTAGAAAAATGTTTGAAAGTCCGCTTTATGTAATGTAATTATTAAATTTCATCATTTTGCACTTTCCCAATTCAATTTAAAGTTATTGTGTAACCCTACATAAGGTTCCAGCTGGTTTCTTCTATGGTGGGTTTCTATGTATCTTCATCTTCGTTCCATATGATGTGATAATAACTTAAACAAAATAGGATAAGGTAAAGGAATATGATGAAAATGATTAAGTTATCCCAACAATCATTTATTTGTTACTAGCTGGTACCCGCGACTACATTTCCGTGGAATTTGAAAAGTGCTGCCTTAGTGGTGTAGTACCTTATTCCCACATCTTGCAAACTTTTGTAGGGTTTTCTAAGAGGAAAACTAGCTCTGAGTTACTCCTTTTATAGACAGCTACCTAGTAGTAACATATTATCAAAATCGGTCCAGTCGTTTGGAAGATAAACAGACAGACAGATAGCTAAATATATTTAAACTGATTTTAAGGCATAGGTATCATGCAAATAACCGTGTGAGTATTAAAAAAACCCTATTATTTTGACATTACAAACAGACACTTTGTATAGGTTGGTGTCCTGCCACCACTGCGACTGCAGTGAGGACTCGGCCCAGCACACGCTGGCGGTCTGCCCCGCATGGGCGGCGCAGCGCCGGGCCCTCACCGCAGTCATCGGAGTGGATCTCTCGCTGCCGGCCGTAGTACGCTCCATGGCTGGTAGCGACAGTTTTTTTACCGCGGTCGCAACCTTCTGCGAGGTAGTAATCTTGCGGAAGGAGGCGGCGGAGAGGGCCCGGGAGGACGACCTCCACTCGGACCCGATCCGCCGCCGGCGAACCGGGCGGCGGAGGCCCGCCTATCACAGCCTCATGCCGCCCTGAGTGTGGCCGCGGGTGGACGGGGTGGGTTTCCCCTCCACCCGCATTAGTTTGGCCAGCCGCGAGGGGGCGGCGTCCGCGTGTGCCGGACGTCGCCTAAAGAGAGGAAAAAATATTGAGACGGAGCCCGCACCAGGAGCGGGCTGGCGCTAGGAGGGGTCCGGATGTCTTAACAACAGCTGTTCCCGGATCCCTCCTGTTACAGGCGCAGAGTGGCACACCGTGTGGTTTTAGTCGGTCCGAGTCCGACACACCACCCGCCGCAAACCCCGGAGGGGTGACGGTCCGAGGGGATTTCCACACGTTAAAAAAAAAAAAAAAAGTCTAAGCATTTAGTGATGTAAACAAGATATCTCGGGAGCTTTGAGTGAGTGGCGTAACTCTGGACCATTGTATTTGGTGACATTCCGACAGATTAATGAACAACACAGAGAAGGAGTTTTTTATTCTTATATGTAGTTGGATATTTGGAATTATTTTTTAACACTGAAGGAAACACTCCTCAGCGTATCAAGTGTAATGTTTATCTGCTTATGTGCGTAGCCGTCTATGACATCATAGCTCTTATAAGAATATACAAATTTTGATTT